TCAAAACAACAGTCACAAATGACGTTGTGCTTTAAGGCTGGCGGTTCAAGCTCACCAGCCGCTCCTTGGAAACCCTATACAGGGTCACTATGGGTTGGAATTGACTCACAGCACTTAACAACAACAACTCAAATCTGTATGGTGAGTAAATAATCCAAGAAGGTGGCATCAGAATTGGAGGAAGAATCACCTAGAATGCACAACGTGCAGATGATATAACCTTGCTTACTGAAAGAGGGCTTAAAATACTGATGAAGCTCCAAGGGCACAGCCTTCAGTAAAATCCGCACCTCACTGTAAATTAAACAAAAATCCTCACAACTCGACCAATAAATATCATCATGACACAAGGAGAAAAGACTTTATTTTGCTCGGCTCTCCAATCAACACTCACGGAAGCAGCAGTCCAAAAATCAAACAATGTGTTGTATTCTTTAAAGTGTTCAAAGATGTCAGCTTGAGGACTAAGGTGGGCCTGACCCAAGCCACGGTGTTTCCCATAACCTTATATGCATGTGAAAGCTGGACAGTGAATAAGGAAGACAGTAAAAACAATTGATGAATTTGAATTATCGTACTAGAGAAGAATATTAAAAATACCACGGACAGCCGTCAGAAGAACAAGCAGGTCTATGTTGGAAGAAGTACAGCAAGAATTCTCCTTAGAAGCCAGGATGGTGACACTAGGTCTCTCATACTTGAAATATCATCAGGAGGGACCAACCCTGGAGAAGGACACCCTTCATGGTCAACTGGAAAATCTGTGAGAAATCAGAAGATGGACGGCGGCAGTGACAGCAACAATGAGCTCAAATGTAACAACCACCGTGAAGACGATGCCGGCTTGACAACACTAACAACAAGGGCAAACTACTGACCGATGCAGGAAACATCAAAACAAGAGAGAAGGAGCACGCAGAGGCACCGTCACCATCAAGACGTGGCCGAGACTCCATCACTTCAAGAGGCGCCAAATGACAAAGAAATGACAGTACTGAGGAAGAGAAGCAGTCCAAGACGCACTCAAGGCACTGGAGAAAAGCGAAAGGCTCCAAGAACTGAGGGGACACAAGCTGACACCTTTCAACACATAGATGCCGGACTCATCTGGGCCAACCAACTGAAGAGATCCACATCTGTGCCCATTCCACAGACTGCGGACGTCCTCAGCCAAGTAAAATGTTGCTGAAAATACTTCAGAAAATGGCTGCAACAACACATCGACAGGAACTGCCAGAATTCGAGTTGGATTCCAAACAGGACACAGACCAGGAGATCACTGCTGACGTCAGATGGATCTTGGCTGAAAGTAGAGAAGACCAGAAAGATGTTTACTTGCGCTTTACTGATTGTGCAAAGGCTTTCGACTGTGGACAACACTGCGAAGACTGGGTATTCCAGACACTTCACTGTGCTTGTGAGGACATGCGCATAAACCACCAGGCCGCTGTTTGAACAAATAAAGAGGGCAGTGAATGGGTCAAAATCAGATTAAGGGGAGCGGTAGGGTGGTATTCTTTCACCACGGTCCTGGTGTGTGTGGCGTTACAGGATAAGCACTGGACTGCCAAACACAAGACAAGTGGTTCAAACACACCAGTCGCTCCTTGGAAACCCTATACAGGGCGTTACTATGAGTCAGAACCAACCTGACAACCCTTAAGTACCACAATATTCAATCTGTACGATGAAAAAC